GCACGGCAGTGAACAGCCCGCACCTCTCACAACGAATGGCGCGGTGGTTGTCATTCTTTGCAGAATACAACTTTACGGTCGAGTACAAACCAGGACGACTTAATGTCGTCGCTGATGCACTCTCACGTCGTCCCGACTTTGAAACAGTCGCGAAACCCAACAGTGAGACAGTCACTGTTGCGGTTATGACGTCCTCAGTCCCATCTACAACGTTGTATGATGATGTGAGGCGGGCATACGCCCAAGATGGTGAGATTGTGAAGTTGTTGACACATCTCTCCCAACCATCTCGAGAATCGTTGAAACGATTGTCGTCTGCGTATCGATCTGCATCAGATCGATACACTACTCGTAACGGTTTACTGTATTATACAGCCGTTTCTGGTGACACACCACGTGTTGTCATTCCAGATGATACTGATCTGCGTTTGCGGATCATGTTCGAGTATCATGATGCTCCTATAGGAGGACATCGTGGCCGAGAGAAAACATATCTCACGGTAAGTCGAGACTTTTACTGGCCCCGACAGTATCAGTTTGTGCGAAAGTATGTTCGCGCATGCGAAGTCTGTCAACGAGTGAAGTCAAGTCCTTCACTGCGTGCACCTTTACAGCCTCTACCGGTTCCGGCTGAGTGCTGGGAATCCATCTCAATGGATTTCGTCTTCGGGTTACCCAAAGACGCACGCGGGAATACGGGTATTCTCGTATTTGTTGACAGATTCAGCAAAATGGTACACCTTGTGGCTGTACCAGAGACAATCACGGCAAGTGGCTGTGCTTGTGTCTTTATTGACACCATCTTCCGACTTCATGGGTTGCCCCGTGAACTCGTATCAGACAGAGATCCACGCTTCACTGCTGATTTCTGGCGTTCCGTGTTCAAATCACTCGGAACGCGCTTGAAGATGTCAACATCTGATCATCCAGAGTCAGATGGTCAGACGGAACGTGCCAATCGTGTCCTTGAAGAGATACTTCGAGGATACGTACACTCCTTTAAGAGTTGGAGTGAGTTTTTGCCAATGGTAGAGTTTGCCATTAACAACTCGGTGCATGCGTCCACGACACATACACCGTTTTACGTGAATGGCTTGCGCCATCCGCGTGTACCCACCTTACTAGAGTGTAACTCTGGTTTAAGGGGGGAGGGACTCGCGCGAGCAAAAACCGAATTGGTTCACGCTCATCACGCTCTGACGAAGAAGTCATTGCGTTTGATGCCGATATCGATAACATCGATATCGAAGAAGATGATGCCAGTGAGAGTGCGGAAGCCCTCACTGAAGAAGATGATCCCAGTGAGAGTGCGGAAGCCCTCACTGAAGAAAAGGTTGATCTTTCTGCAGTGCACTCACAGCGCACTGAAGCTAACGAGCCAGCAGATGAGTTCATACTGGCTCGTGAAACGGTAGTTCGTTTTGTGCAAGACTCCATCGCCGAAGCGGTGGATAAGCAAAAACAAAACGCTGACAAGAATGGAAGGGCAAACACTCTTTTATTTAATAAAGGTGACTTAGTCCTACTGTCTACGGTTAATCTACCAAAGCATGTAGTGACTAACTTGGGTAGCAGTAAACTTCTACCCAAGTACATCCGCCCATTTCGTGTATTGCACCGCCTAGGCAATGCATCCACGATCGAGTTGCCACGTAAGATGCGAACGCATCCCACGTTTTACGTTGGTCGGCTTAAGCCGTACCATCAGTACGCTGCTTCTTCCGATGAAGAACGCCCTTGCGCTCAAGCATCTCGCAGAGAGCCTTGTGCTCCCGATGGTGGGCATCAACAAGGGTCTGAAGAGCAGCTATCTCATCCCGAGACCGATCAGCAATCCCACGAGCTACCCTTAGCTCGTCACGAAGAGATGTCAGAGATCTCTCGTTCTCAAGCTGAGCAAAGTCAAACTCAGCTCGATGCTTCGAGGCAGTGTCCGCCATTTGGAGACGCCTATTCCGCTCATGTTCGAGATCGTCGCGTAACCCTTGCGTTACGCGATCAAAGAAGCTCTCGGGAACACACCGATCCACATGATCGTGTGGAGAGCGTCTTTCCTCCTCCTCCACCTCCATTAGAGGACTCTCGCGGTGGCCAGCGCTATCTAGTTGAGCAGCTGTTGAACCACCGCGACGTGAACGGACGTCGGACGAGTTATCTCGTCCGGTGGCGCGGCTATCCCCCGTCCTGGGATTCTTGGGAGCCCCGCTCCCAACTGATGATCGACGTACTGGGTCTGGTTGAGCAGTACGACGCGGCACATCCTGTGCCGCAGAAGGACCACCGGAGAAAGTCTTCCCGGCACGGTCGTAAAGGGATTTCAGGTTGTCAATCCCTTCGTACATCTCAGTAGAGACACGTACGCGCCACCACGGGCTGGTAAGGAGGTAAGCCTCCTTAGGTGCTCGTGCAGAGTTGTTCACACAACATGGGCACGAGTCTCCCCAAGAGAGGCAGGGTAATCCTTTCTCCCTTGACAGACGATGCAGCTTGTAGCGTGCACCTGTCGGGGTTCGCTTTTCAAACTTATCACGAGCTTTGATAAGTTTGTCGTTCCAAGCGTCACGACCTACATCCTCGAGGTTATGGATGTAGGCGTTCCACGCTTGAAGCAGTGAGGGACCATCACGCTTGTGATTCCCACTGTACCATCGATGTCTAAAGAAAGCATCGATGAAGAATTCATTCTCAGCGCAATAGGTTTTCGCGCTGGGGTCAAGGTGATGGATCCTTGACGAATCGAACAATCGTGTTCGATAACGATCACTCGTCGTCGCCGACAAGTGATCCATGACGGATTTTGGAGGCATCCATGCCTTCTTTTCTGGAGCGAGACGCAAGACATTGCGGTCCCGCTCTTCCTGCGACGTGCCGACAGAAGTACTGGCACCTCGCTGTGAAGTGGTGTCCATAGGAGAACCGACACCACTATTAGCGCCCGAGTCTCGCGACCTCGAGCGCCTTCGCTTCGGCGATGGTTCATCTGATGAATCAGATGAACCAAAGATGCTACGACGCATAGCATCATTCATGCCACGCTTGGCAGGCGGCTTGGATTCAATCGCTGTCGATACGGATCCGTCTTCCGTATAAGGAGAGTATGAGACACCGAGTTCATACTCTGTGAAGACATGAGTGTCTTCATGACCAGCGCCTGCATCACCAAGTGACACAGGCTGGGTCGCTTTTTTTTTTCAGCAACCGATGAGACATCAGTTGCTGTTGTTTCTGCTTCGGCGTCCGCACAGAGACGTGCAGACGCGCTCTCGGCGGCCTTGCTCGCGCATCGCATGGGCTTGTTTACCATGCGATGAGATGTTGGAAAGTGGACGTGGACCAACAAGTGCAAACCCTGTCCCAAATGATTTGGGACGAGTATCCATTTAGTCAATCAGTCACTAAAGTGACTGATGGTTAAGGGGGGGGGTGATGTAACGGGGTGAATCGTTACATAACAATTTATAAGAAATTGTTAATAGAATATAACTATAAGAGTGATATTCTCAGAATATTGTCATAATGACAAATATTCTGTAGCACTTACGAGTAGTTCCTAATTGGTTGATATCGACCATTATATCAACCAACGAAGACACGCCACGACAGACGCACGCAATGAGTGGTGAGCAGATAGTTGATTTACACATTTGTATTTAGACATAGTTAGATGAAGATGAATAGTGATTTATTGCAGACATTAACTATTATAAATACAGTTCTACTTTTTACTTTAACCAAGTACTCGCTTCTTCTTACCGTCTTCCTCTGCACGTACGAGTGTACGTGAAGTTACGAGGCACCGCCTTATTCTGTTATCAGAATAAGTAGCTTGTACTGTTACCAGTACAAGCTTCAGGGTGCCCCGTTACAGCTGCCGTTCTTCAGAGCTTTGTTTGGCACTTTAGCAAGCCTACAAGTCCTCACTATACATTTCTGGTATCACGCGTGATGCAAAATATCTTATAACATCTTTATTTGGAGTACGCTGCTCTTAAAATGACTTTTCTTCCATAAACCATCATCGGCGTAGCGGAGCTACACAGCTCCCTAAGTCATAGGGAGACTATGTGCTTAACCAGCAATATTAGCTCTAATATAACTAGACTTAATCAGTCAACAAGAGTACAGATTAAGGTCCCTATTCCATAAGATCAAACGATTCAGTGAATCTATAGCACTTAGCGTTCAAAAGTAGCTACATCAGGAAGGCATTGTTGACTTTTAACGATTGACAATCAGATACGCCTCATAAGGCACGTGTCTAAGCCAAGATCAAAAGGAGAGCTGAACTTTATTTATGTTTGACTCGATAGAATATCTTAATCCTTAGTATTACCAACCCAGCCACTCATGTCCTAAATACAATCTTCAAGATCTTTCCTATCTTGCCGATGACACCCGTCATCCCGTATAGGCCGATAATATATTCTATATCCCTTTCAGTGGGATACCATCCTGCGTGTCTAAGACAAAGGTACCGAACACCCTTTGATGTGTAGCCTTTGAACCCCCCCCACAAGACTGATGTTTACCCAAACTTCAATTGAACTTTGCTCCGCAACGAGGTCAGTTCGCTTGCTGTTCACCTCACTGTAACGCGATGCTTAAACACCGTTTCCTCATTGCCTAGCGAGTCACAGAAATTTTGGGCATTCCTCGATATGGGAGAGGTATGTATCTGTGGTAGCAATAGCAATGTCCTGGGTGATGCAAGGAAAATGTACGATACACCCATGCCTGAGGTATAACCTTCTGCTACGTTGAGTCCATTTCCTGAACGTGATGACGCGAATGCGTTATTGGTGCCGCATTCAACACCCGTTTCGGATGACGCAATCATCACCAACCCTCTTGATGAGTAGCAAGAGTTGGCTATTCCACAAGCAGAAAGTTTCCGGCGCCATGCACAAATGGTCACGGCCCTTGCGAACCGGCGTGAACATTTGTTCGCTCCGCTTAGTGTGGAGGAACGTCTACTTTAAACGACTGGCCGAACGTCGACAATGAGGACCATTGGTGCTGGAGCTACTTATGCCGAGGAAGTGGCAAGTGACCGTGCAATTCGTGAGAGGTGCCTGAAGCCATATCTGATATTGCGAAGTCAGTACAAGGCACGCCTTGAAGTGCAACCACGTAGTGCACCTGTTCTACCGATTAAGGGTGTACTTATTCTCTTAATCACAGGCAAAACAACGGATGAAGAAGACAACGACTTCATTCGCTGGGTGCACTACACTCGTAGCCTCAGCAGTATGTACGCTTGGAGAGCTGGTGTCAGTGTGGTCGATGTGCGTCTCGAACGCAAGCTTCGGTATGACTATGCCAAGCTTAATGCCTCAGGCTAATTGCGCAATCGCATGCTCTATGCTTAGGCTAATACGGTAGACGCGAGTAATTGTTAGATCGTGACCACTAACCCGCTAACCCTCACCACTAGTGGTGGGAAACGGCCTCGGTCTCGATATGACATTGGCCACGATGTTCAAAGATATCCACGACGTAGGGACAATCCTGCCGAAGGAGAACCTCATAGTCTCATGATTTCTCCTACTCCAGGTACCCACGCCACTTCACCGGATACTGGTATTAGCAAAGACGACGACGTCGTTTTAGGAGTCTCTCCTCGTGAAACTGACGTTTTTCTTGCTCATCAAGCAGGGTCGGTGGAGGTCGGTATACCGAAGGAGGAACATCAGAAGGTACCTATCGAGCTGAAAGGTCTCCGTGAGAAATTGGGTAATACCCAGAGTGCGCTCGACGCGACGCAAGCTCGCATTCATGCGTTGAATTCGGGTCCCACCCGGATGGAGGCCCGACTTGACCTCCTGATTCGGATTCAGCAACAAATGGCAAGGTCAACTTCCGCGGCGTAAGCGCTTCCAAGCTCACATGAAACGGATTCCGATAAGGCTTAAGAAAGCCAACGTAGAACACAAGATGTGTGCGCACTTTTCGTGGAAGGTTGAGCGTACACGAAAGCCTTTTTATAGCAATGACCGTGAATGGTCCAACGGAGCGTGGACGCAACTTTGTCTTAAATGCAGCGGACACTACATTTGTAGGTAGGTTTTTAGCATTTACTAATGTTTGGTCTTCTACCAGATAACTTTCAATACAACCTCTGTTTTTAGCCTCTGCTTGTTGTTTTTGTTGGTCTTGGCTTTCAGCCATTGCATCACGAACGTCTTAAGACTATCAATAGCGTTGCGAGAAACTTGCCTACCCGTTTTTGAACAGTAGCAGGGCTGATATCAGCAAGCCGATCGGAAACCACTCCTTCAACAAGCTCTAAACCACATAGCTTTGTTGACGAAACGCGGGGGGGGGTAAGACCTTTTACGTAGAGCTGAGTATATCCTGCAGAGGCATGAACAGCGTTGTTTAACGCAAATCCAACAACCGGGAGTGTGGTAAAGCGATTTTTAGGAATGGTGGACTTTAGTGTTGATGATCCAGATGGACGTTGGACCTCACGGCCAGGAGAGGGACCGGAGACCTGGGGGTCACAGGTATGGAGCGGCCTTTGGGTCCAACTGTGACGAGCGGTTAAGGTTACCGCTAACGGGATTGCACCGACCAACAGTATTAGCTAAACGGTACTGTTATGGATCGTTCTCAACCACTCGTTCCCCAACCTGGTCGCCCAAGGTAGGCCTTGGTCACCATTAGGCTGACCTGGCCACCCATCGGCCAACCTGGTCACTCATAGGTGGATTTGGCCTTTCATGGTAGGGTGGCTCCTGGCCACTCATCATAGCGAACCCAGGTGCAAGGCAAAGATAGAATAAAGGAGTTTAAATGATATGACGATATTAAATAATCTCAATTTGCTATCTAATTAGCACGACGTGTAGTGCGCTAAGAAACTTGTAAGTCTACTGACCTGCCCGGCCAGGGATCTGTTTGCCCACCAGTCGAATAGACAGTTGTCCGTAAGATCCAAGTGTAAGTAGATCCCCAGGAAGTATAACGGCCTATGGGTTCGTAGAGTAGCCCCCCCTACTCAAGCCCGCTGTAGGAAGCGGTCTGCATGCCCGAATGGTTAGGGAGCTGAAACGTAAAGGCCAGGCGGTTAACACCCCTGAGATAAGTAAATGCCAGGCGCTACCAGAACCTGAGACAACTGGTTATAAGACCGCTCTTGACCAAGTCGATCGAGTGGCCGCCTAAAATATACCCCGACTGAAGCCTATCCTCTCACCCCCACCCCAGGTCGACCTCCATCAAGGCCGACGTCTACAATCATCACTAAGTCCTCCAAAGAGTACAACCTGCCACCCGACGCGTACACAAGGTGAGTCAAGGTCCACAAGCGGCATCGGGGTACCCCCTCCGACAGCCGGCAGTCCGACACAGTGAGTGGTTTGGCGTCTCGTCAAATAATTTTGACAGCTAACTCCACCACAGGAGCATGGAGCTCCATCGCGTAGGCGTGTCAGTGCAAGCACTACGAAAAATATCATTAATGACACGACCAACACGCTCAGTTTGATCATCGGTCTGTGGACGATACGCTGTAAACATATCCAATCGGGTGCCGAGCACCATTTCGATGGACTTACAAGACTTCGAAGTGAAGTAGGATCTCCAAAAGAGACAATGGCGACTGTCAAACCATGTTGTCCGAATACACGGTCGATAAACATCTTTGCAGTACCTCCAGCATCGATCGTATACGGCACAACAGATAAATAGGCCGTCTTGCTCAATCAGTCAAGAAAGACCACAGTACCAGTGGTGCATTCCGAATCCTTCGGTAGACTAAACATAAAGTTTATACTCATGGATTCCCAACACCCAGTGGGTACAGGCAGACTATCCAGTAACACCACCGCATGTGCTGAGGATTTAACCCGTTGACAAGTTTCACACGCAGACAAATAGTTGCTGGCCCACTTGCATAGTTTGTGCCACCAGCAAGCCTGGATAACTGATCCATATGTCTTGTCGCGGCCGAGATGACCACTTGAAGCGGTACCATGTGCCCCATAGATGGTTCGATACTCTACCTCCTCATCATGAGATACAGTAATACGAGGGTCAATATAATATTTGTGCGATATCACAACATGACATTACCAATAGAAAATCGATTCAGCTTCGCACGTAAACGTGCCGATAATTCTATGTCCGAGTATTTAAATTCCTCGCTCCCAAGAACTTGTAAAAAAGATACACATTGTTCATCCTTGGCATAATCCGAACAAATTTAGTCGGTAACTGACGATGAATGCGTAGTGACGTGAGCAAGCTTGTAGTCAGGTCGGCGAGATAATGCATCAGCCAAAGCATTTTGACTTCCTGGCAAATACTTTACTTAGAAGTTATATTCGGCAACGAATGAAGGTCAACGAGCCGTTCTTTGAGAGAAATGCGGCGACTGTGTCGCAGTGCGAAATCACGCATGATCTGTTCAGATTACAAATGGCTTTGAGCCAAGCAGATGTACTCTGAGTTTGACTAAATCGTACTCAATAAAAAGTAGCTCTTTGTCATGAACTGGATAGTTCTTTGCAGCAGCTTTGAGCTGTCAAGACTCGAATGCAATGAAGCATTCGCGTCCATCGACATATGATTGCAGCATATCATTGCATATGGCAAAGTCAGATGCGTCACAGACAACGCTAAAAGAACGATCATGTTAAAAAACAACTTCTTCTGACAGGTCATTCAAGCTCGGGGTGAAGACTACAAGACCTGTGAAATGAAACGTAAAGGGTAGCCTTCATGTATTGGCTGACAAGTTGACAGGTGGGACCAGGGCGTGACGTCATGTGGGACCAGGTATGGCATACGGTGATGAGCACGCTGGATGTGCGCCAGGTGTTACTTGACTAGGTTAAGTTGCAGTGCTGGTCGTCAATTGTGTGGTAAAGGGGTCAAAGAAAATCCTGACCAATCGTCTTGATCATCTCGTAAGTGCATGTGGGACCGCCATACCGGTCTTGGGACTGACCGCTACAGAAAGCCCGAACGATAAGCTGGGTGGTTTGCAAGTCATCAGTGGCGGTCACAGATTATGACCTTCGGTTAGGGTCACGACGTATGACTGACCGGTCATGGTCACAATGGGCGACCAGTGGTCATGGTCACGATGGGTGCCCAGTGGTCATGGTCACGATGGGTGACCAGTGGTCACGGTCACGATGGGTGACCAGTGGTCGTGGTCACGATGGGTGACCAGTGGTCATGTACGATGGGTGATAGTGGAGAGATGGGTGATAGTGTAGGTAGATGGGTAAGTGGTGGTAGATGGGTGAAGGTATGGTAGATGGGTGAATGCATGTATGAAGATGAAGTAGTAGATGGTGAGTGGTGGAGATGGGTGATGATGGGAGTGTTATGGTAGATGGATAGTAGTATACGATGGAAGGGTGAATGTATGGTCACGATGGGTGATTAGTGGTCATGGTCACGATGGGTGACCAGTGGTCACGGTCACGATGGGTGACCAGTGGTCGTGGTCACGATGGGTGACCAGCGGTCATGGTCACGATGGGTGACCAGTGGTCATGGTCACTGCAAGATGACTAGCGGTCACGGTCACGATGGGTGACCAGTGGTCGTGGTCACGATGGGTGACCAGCCGTCAAGGTCACGATGGGTGACCAGTGGTTATGGTCACGATGGGTGACCAGTGGTCACGGTCACGATGGGTGACCAGTGGTTATGGTCAAGATGGGTGACCAGTGGTCACGGTCACGATGGGTGATTAGTGGTCATGGTCACTGCAAGACTACCAACGGTCATGTTAGCAGTTAAGGTGGTTTACTTCAAGCACAGGGAATGGGTGGTGGCAGGCGATAACGTAGCAGAAAACTGAGATAAAGAGAAGTGTAAACGTAGTTCTAGCCCCTATTAAGTTAAAAACGAACAGTATTGACTTTCCTACAGAAGACACGCGTCAGCATTCCTCCGGACTGGAACACTAGTGGCCACCCAACGTACAAGATTTATTGTCTACGTGTTTGCTCAAGGTTTGTCCCTAAGTTTCTTGGCTAGGGACAAGTATACTCATATAAGTTAGCCCGCGATCGGACGCGGCAAGCATACAAGGCAAGGTCTTCAGACGGCTCAAGTGACCAGAAGGACAAGGTGATCAAGTCTTAGAATAACAAGGAGGATCAAGTATCCACATTTGGGCAAGGCGACCTCAAGGAAGGCCAGGCAACTCTAGGAGAGTGCCACCAGTAACTGTTGGTCGTGTGAAGATTAACCACGCGAACACACCCCACCTCTTCTTAACTCGATCAAGACAAGACATCGACCTCAAGACACCTAGAAGAGTGCAACCGCCCGCCGACGGGTACACAAGAAGGTGAGAAGGAACAAGACGAGACAAGACACACGGTCCGGAGTACCCCGTCCGTTAGTCGGTCGTCCGGGCGCAAGTGGGGAGTCAGGATCGCTACGTAAATGAGCGAATCTCACTCCACCACAATTGCATGTGGTAGAGATAACAACGAAGGGTAGTAAACTCTCAGTACATTCTAATAAAACTTACTACTTTTAATGCACAAGTGCACCAACATTCAACGGATCAGGATCAGGCAAAACCAGTATTAGCGCACAAAAGAGACTTTTCTTTGCTTCTTGAAAAGCATCGTGTTCGGGGTTACCCCAGCACCAAATCCACATTCTAATTAAGGAGATCGGATAATGTCCGAGCCATATCCGCGTAATTTGCACTGTACCTATGCAAGTAGTTGGCAAAGCCAAGCCGCTAAAATAGATCCCTTTAGCTCTTTGGAACCGGACAACCGACTATGGCCCTACCCTTAGCGGGCTCAACTCGAAAGCCTCGCTCCCCAATAAAGCACCGTAGAAATTTATTTCTTCTGCAACAAAGATGCACTTGGATGCATTTTCGTAA